ATTTTAATGTTTGTCTTTTTCCAATGAGCTTATGTTACTTTTGTGGTCATAAAAGAAAAAAAAAAAACCAGTAATATTGAGAATCCAAACCATAAACCAACAACTGAACATGGTCAGGGAAGAGGAGGGGTACAAAGAAGGACCCTGCTGGTGGGTCACTTGCCTCAGGGACAGATACTGGACTCCTTCTGGCCTAGTGGCCAGTGAAGCATAGGTGCACTGCAGGGTCTTGGGGAGGGGCGCTATGCACTGCAGAAATTGCAGTTGGAAACAAACTTCATCTCTACTGCAGCCTCAATGGCCTTACTCTGTGTTAGTCGGATATCTGGATCTTGCCTCTGCCCCTGCTTTTAAATAAACCCTCTAGGGAGAATAATGAGAGGCAGTGGAAGGGGAGATAGGAGAGAAGAAGAAAGGAAAGGGAGAGGGGCTAGAGGAGAGAAGAGAAGAGAAACGCTGTGTGCCTGCATCTCCATGGCTCCAGGAAGTGGGACGTGGAGCTGCTCCTCGGCATTCTGTGCCAGGAGTCGCCATGGAGACTGAGCTCTGGCCTCTTCATGATTAATACTCTGAGGCGGCTGTCTTCTTGGAGTCTTTTAAAATATACACTATTATTTAAACACAATGATATTTAGAGCAGAAAGATCAAGGTGGGGAGTGGGGGAGGAGAGTGTAGCATTACCAGAATGATGGCAGGGTCTGGGCCCTTCCCAGAAGAGAGAAAAGGGAGGCTTACTTCTCTCGATCCCTCTCCCTCCACCCTCCCTGGATCCAGAGCTTCCAATCTCACCCCCGAGACATCAGCATCCGCGTCTGGAGGGCCCGTGCAGCGCCTGGCACAGGGCTGTATTCAATGAACATTTGATGAATGGATTTGTTCATTCATCAATTCGTTCAGTAATTGTCTATTCAATGCTTGTCTAGAAAGCAAACTCTCCTTCCATCACCTTTTCCCACAAAAGCCAGAAATTTCCTCTCGCTTTGCCTACAGTCACAGATACATCAACACCACCACCACCTTTCACACTGGCTCCCAAGAGCCTTGCATGCTGTCCTCCTCAGCATGTATCTGAGATGACCCACCGTGTTCCTAATGGCAGTCACTCCAGAGAATTCTTGCACGGATGGATACCAGCCAAATGGAGTTTGTACATTTGAAAAGCTAGAGGAGGATTCTCCACATACAGCCATTTTAATCTTTTTGTAAAATGAATTATCTTTTCCTAAATTATCTGACAGAGTAGGCTAGTCTGGGCTTGACTGTCAGTCCCACCACGGAATAGAAGTGTGGCCTTGAGGGAGTTGTTTAACAGTTTTAAGTGTGTTTCCTCATCTGAAGTGGGTCTTCAATTCATTATTCCATGGAGCTTTTATTCAGGGACTGAACCCCAGCCAAAACTGAAAGTGCCAAATGCTAACCACTAGACCACCAGGGAATTCCTTATGATCTATTTTCAAGCTCTTAATATTTGGGAGTAAGATGGGCTGAGCTGTGAAGGGCTACAAAATGCTCATTCCTCCTTTATATTCCCTCCTCCTCCTCAAAGAGCCAAATGTAGATGCAACTGCCCTCCAGAGGTCCCATGTGTGAGAGTATGGGGATGTGCATGCACCGAACGTGAGGATGCAGGGGTGGGAATGTGGGCCAGCCCACACCCAGAACACAAGCTGTGTCCCCTGTCTCCTCTCCTAATCACTCTGCCTTCCCAGCTCTGCCTCCAGGCCTGGCCTCTAACACAAGGAAGTTGGACCTTTGTCTTAACACAGACTTAGCCAACGGCCCTTGGCAAAGAGCAGCAATGGCCTGGGAACTTGCCAAAGGAGTAGGGGAATTATCCATGACTAAGAGGGAGGAGGAATGCTGTGGCAGAGGGAAGAACAGCAGAGGGACGGAGAACCTGGGGCTGGCCAATCTGGCCCGACGGGGCCACCTGGGTAGCCTTGGCCACCGGCCTAGTCAAACTTGCCCACTCCTCCTCCCTCCCAGGCAGCAAGGTGCCAGCAAGGACTGGAGACGTGTGCCCTGTGAGTCTGGTACGGGCTCACCTGGCTTTGGCAATGCGTTTGTATTAGGATTCAAATCAGGGTCTGAAACAGAGTATAAAAGAAATGGTGGCCTGTGTGCCTAATCCTTACAGACAAGCGCTGAGTTTCTGTATTTCCTACATGGAAACACATGTGCTGCTAACACTGACCTATGTCTATGGCACTTGTTAGGTCATTCTGGACGTACGTGAATTCCAGGCACAAGAAAATGAATGCAAGCGTGTCAGCATGTGTTTTTTGGGTGATTATATGATGCCATATTCTGTGAACACACTTTAGCACTGTTGTGGAATGGGGATGGAGATACATCTCATAGTCCTTGTAGAATAAAAACTAAAATCTATCTTCTGATCCATAGTAGGCACTTAAGGAATGAATACTGAATGAACAAACATTGAGAAGTTAAATGAATGAATGTTTGCATAATGAACATAGGGTAAACACATGAGCATTTGGTGGGTTTTGGGCATTCCTGGCAGTCTCCCTTGAAAAAGGAGGCTGGGCAAGGGGGGCTTGGAGATACACTGCCAGTCATGCTATAGCCCATCACCCTAAATGATTTCGTTTCCATTCCGAAGGAAGACGGGATCCCAACCTGCCCTCTGTACCATCTGGCACCCAGAGTCTCAAGAATTGATGCTCTTTGTAATGAAAAACATAATTTACTTACTTTCCTAATTTGGTCCAGAAAGGAGTTAAGTGAATTATAACACAAAATAAAATGAAAAATTTTAAAAGATGAGAAAATAAAACAAAGTGAGAACTATAGAAGAAGAGAGATGGGATCAGGAGGGCAGGCAGGCTTCTTTGCTGGAGCTGACTAGACTTCTGTAGCTAAGAGCCACAGCCTCCTTAATACTAGGAAATATATTTTTTAAGTTTTGTAGAAGCCCAATTATTCCAGGAACTGATTCCAGGCATGTATAGCCTATAAATTCTCTGTGTGCTCCTGGGAACAACATCCTTAGAGTAACAGTCATTTATACCAAGGCAGAAAAAAAAAAAGACTACTATAAAGGCATCTCAAACCTTGTGGGTGAGGGAAGAGGGAGCAGGAATTGGCCCTACTTCTCTGGAGGACAACTGCCAGTTGTATCAGAATTTTACGTACTCTTATTAGCAGATGGTAATTGCAACCATGAAATTAAAAGACACTTACTCCTTGGGAGGAAAGTTATGACCAACCTGGATAGCATATTTAAAAGCAGAGACATTTCTTTGCCAACAAAGGTCCATCTAGTCAAGGCTATGGTTTTTCCAGTGGTCATGTATGGATGTGAGAGTTGGACGGTGAAGAAAGCTGAGCGCTGAAGAATTGATGCTTTTGAACTATGGTGTTGGAGAAGACTCTTGAGAGTCCCTTGGACTGCAAGAAGATCCAACCAGTCCATCCTAAAGGAGATCAGTCCTGGGTGTTCACTGGAAGGACTAATGTTGACACTGAAACTCCAACACTTTGGCCACCTCATGCGAAAAGTTGACTCATCGGAAAAGACCCTACTGCTGGGAAGGATTGGGGGCAGGAGGAGAAGGGGACGACGGAGGATGAGATGGCTGGATGGCATCACTGACTCGATGGACATGGGTTTGTGTAGACTCCGGGAGTTGGTGATGGACAGGGAGGCCTGGCGTGCTGTGATTCATGCGTTCACAAAGAGTCAGACATGACTGAGCAACTGAACTGAACTAGATCTAGAATTATACTCATTGCAATTTATCCCACAGCTATATTCACATTTATACACTCAAGGACTACAACAACAATGGCAAGCAAAGGACTGGAAACTTTCTATATGTTAATGGATAAGGGACAAATTGATGTCCCTTGCTGTGGAGTACTATACAGCCTTACAAAAGAAGGATCAAGCTCTTTATGTTTGGACATGAGTCAATCTCTCAGCTGTTATAAGTTGGGGAAAATTCTACTGCAAGACAGTGTGTATGCTTGCATATGCATAATTTTTTCTGAAAAAAAAAAAAAAGGTGGGTAAAGAGAGACCTTTACCTTTCAATCTTGAATATACAATTTTGTGCTAATTGACGTTTTCTCTCAAGACATGGCTCTTTTAAATTTAAATGTTATTTTTCTTAGCACAAACGAACCAAAAACAACAAAACTATTAAGAAAATGAAAAACACATAGACGTGAGCAAATACTGAATTACGGCAATAATCTCTACGGTTTATTGAGTGTCCCTGCGCCTAGAATTTCATATGCTCTAATCCAATGACTCTTCATAGCAAATTTATGAAGTGGATATGTGTATCTCCATTTCACAGCTGAGGAAACTGACGTTTGGGGAGATGTAACGACACAGCTAGTAGTTGACAGAAAGAGGATTCGAACCCAAATTATGGAATCCCTAAGTCCACGCGGTGTTTTTTAGCCGTCTTTCCGCGTCTGCCTCCAGAAGAGAAGAGCACTTTCTAGAAGTCCGGAGCCACGTGGCGCAGCGCCCCAGCCAGGGGCATCCGCGGTCCCGGCGCGCACGGGGCTCCACGCTTGGGGAGTGCGCGCGCACGCAGCGGCGCGGGCCCGGCGAAGGCTGAGGCAACCACGTCACAGCCCGAGTTTTCCTTTTCGGGAGTCCCCGGCACACATCCTGTGTCCATGTTTGGGCATTTACGTCACGGCGGCAGGGCCGGGGCCTCCCGAAATGGCAGTGGCCCGGGGAGTCGGAAGCCCTGAGCCATCGCCGCCGCTGCTATATAAGTGGGGGGGCCGCGGGTTGGGGGAGCCCGGTTGCGCTTTGGAGAGCCGAGGAACTGCCACCTCCCAGCGCGAGGGCGCCTCAGCCACCCCTTCCCAACCCTTTCCCAGAGGTGAGAGCCAGGAGTCCGAGCTTCTAGGTCTGTGAGCTGCCGGCGCCCTGACTGTCGGCTCCCCGCCATCCGCGCGCCCCCAAGCCCAGCGGGCGAGGCCCCGGGAGCCCCGCCGCTGCCGCAGCCGAGCCATGCTCCACCTTAGCGAGTTTTCCGGCCCCGACGCGCTCCTAGTAAAGTCTACCGAGGGCTGCTGCTCTGAACCCAGTACCGACCTGACCCGGCTGCCTGCCAGGGACCCATCCGCAGCCGCCGGCTATCCGGGAGGTAAGGAGCGAGGCCAGGGGTGCTCAGACGGCGGCGCACCGCGGGGACGCAAGGTGCCTGAGAACAGGCAGGGATGGGGACGCTCGAGCGGTAGGGGTAGGGGCGGAAGGAGATTCGGGGTCTTGTGGTGCGCACCCCCAGTCCCACCCACACCGGGCCTCCAGCGCCTCCGCAGGAACCTGTGCGTGTATCCAGGCGTCCTTTTGCTTTTGCACGTGTGTTTTGTGTGTGCATGTTTGTATGTATGCCTTGGGGCGTATCCCGGCTCCTGCTGAATCGGAATGTGCAAAAGGCACTTTGCGTGTGTCAGCGAGCACCCAGGGCTTCTTGGGTAGGGGCTGCGGGCTGTCCGAGGCTCCGGCTTTGGTGTGCGCGGAGCTGATTCCTGCTCCCTCCTCAGCAGGTGATTTCTTGAGCTGGGCCTTGAGCAGCTGTGGCGCCGGGGAGTACTTAACCGACTCCTGCCTCCTGGAGGGGCCTGCGCCCACGCCTCCCCCTGGCCTCGGCTACAGTGGTAGCTTCTTCATCCAGGCAGTACCCGAACACCCGCACGATCCAGAAGCACTCTTCAACCTCATGTCCGGCATCCTAGGCCTGACACCTTTCTCCGGCTCTGAGGCGGCAGCATCCCGGTCTCCTCTGGACGCCTCTTTTTCCGCAGGCTCCGACGCCTTGCTGCCAGGTCCGCCAGACCTTTTCTCCCCCGATCTGGGCGCTGCCGCTTTCCCAGAGGCGTTCTGGGAGGCCTCGCCCTCGGCGGGCGCCCCCTCACAGTGCCTGTATGAGCCTCATCTCTCCCCACCCGACGTCAAGCCAAGCCTCCGGGCTCCTCCGGCTTCCCCTGCGCTGGACACTGCCTCGACCTTCAAAGGTCCGTACTCTCCATGGGAGCTGCTCTCAGCTGGGGCTCCAGGGAGCTGTGGGTCACAGGGAGGCTACCAGGCCGCCCCGGAGGCCCGTTTCCCCTCGATGGGGGCCAAGATTGAAGACCTGCTGTCCATCAGCTGCCCCGCGGAGCTGCCGAGTGGCCCTGCCAGCAGACTCTACACCATGGGGACCTACGATGCTTTCCCGCTGGCCCCGGGTGACTTAGGAGAAGGAGCCGAGAGCCTCCCGGGGCTCCTGACCCCTCCTAGCGGGGAGGGAGGTAGTAGCGGCGAAGGCGGAGAGTTTCTAGATGGTACGCAGCCTGAGCTTTCCCCGCTGGGCCTTCGCAGCGCCGCGGCGGACTTCCCGAAACCTCTGGTGGCGGACATCCCCAAGAGCAGCGCGGTGCCTGAACCTCCTGGACCGCCGCCGGTCCCATTCCCCGCAGCCAAGGCGCGGCGCAAGGGCCGCAGGGGCGGCAAGTGCAGCGCACGCTGCTTCTGCCCTCGGCCGCATGCAAAGGCATTTGCTTGCCCGGTGGAGAGCTGTGTGCGCAGTTTCGCGCGCTCCGACGAGCTCAACCGCCACCTGCGCATCCACACTGGCCACAAGCCCTTCCAGTGCCGCATCTGCCTCCGCAACTTCAGCCGCAGCGACCACCTTACCACACACGTGCGCACGCACACGGGAGAGAAGCCCTTTGCCTGCGACGTGTGCGGCCGCCGCTTCGCGCGCAGCGATGAGAAGAAACGGCACAGCAAGGTGCACCTCAAGCAGAAGGCGCGCGCCGAGGAGCGGCTCAAGGGCCTTGGCTTTTATTCGTTGGGCCTCTCCTTCGCAGCCCTGTGAGGGTGAAATGGGTTTGTAGATTGGGGCGCCGCAATCTGGCACGCAAGAGAAAACCTGCCCCGCACCCTCCGCCCTCCTCCCCACTCCTCTGCCCACTTTTTTTCGGCACGCCCTAGGGCGGGCCTCTGGTCCGGCTTCTAGTTCCCTTGAAGCGCCCGCCGCACACACCCTGTTCAGCACCAGATCCAAGGACAGCTCCCGTGGTCTAGCCGCTGTCTTTTGAGTCAGCAGCGCTTTGGAGGGAAGTTCTCTTGGGCCACCCCACTGAGTAGGCACTTACTTGGAACTTAAAACACTCTTTGTAACTGGCGCACGCCCCACGCCCCCTCGAAGATCCCCCAGAGACAGGCTGGGGTAGCGCCGAGCTGGTCTCGCGCAGGATTTTGTACAGCAATGTCCTTTTCAGCGGCCATTTGTTGTAACGTTTTGCTTTGGGGTTATTTCCTTTTTGTTGTTAATTTTTGTAAAGCAGACGCTACTCTCAAGCAGTTGACAGAACTGTTTATTTTTGCAATTAAAATTATTGTGCTAAAAGCTTACTGAATCTGCCATCCAAGCTCCTGACCACCGCCCCCACCCCCCCCACCCTCCCGCCCCATGAGGATGTGTGCCAGAAAAGAAAGGAGATGTCATGCTCATGGAGTCATTACACACCTACTATCAGGCACTATGGCATGTGATAGGCGTTCAATAAATATGTACTGCATTAACGAATGAATTTAATCACAGCTGACCTAACGGTTCAAGGTGTTTCTGGAACTTGAGAGTCGTTGAGAGGCTTAGGCATTAAACATTGTGCGTATATTATCCTCCTTAGTCCTTACAATCTTGAGTGCAGCATAAGGAAGCAAAGAATGTAACTTGCTGGGTAACCCAGACAGGGTCAAACTCAGATCTGTCTGGTTCCAAAGCGAATGCTTTTTTCCCAGCTCCAGCATGGCGGCACCTCAGCTTAAAATCACTGTTTGGAAAGGCATCTTAGCAAGAGGTGAAATAGATTTGGCAACTAGAGGGAGCTCCAGGCAGTAGCTACAGCAGCAAAAGACTGCAGTATTTCAGTGCTGTTTGTGAACGCCCAGAGTATTGGTTATCACAGCCAGTGCGTTTGCATCTGTATAAGAATGACATGCTGTCAGGGCCAGAAGGGACTCAGCATTCAGCTAGACCGTTGATGAGAAAAGCCAAGCCCAGTAAGGAGAGGATGTTTGTCAGAGGCTCACAGTCACATTAGTTGCTTTTCCCATAGCAGTCCATTTACCACCTAGTCATGCAATGACCACAGCCCCTTTTCCGTAACTCTCCTTCCCGGTGAACATCTATGGCTTTGGGGGAAAGAGGCGGCAGAAGCGGGGAGTGGAGCTAGGAGGATGGTGAGGAAAGTATGATCCTGTGATGGGGAAGGTGGGTAATGGGTGAATCTTGGCCCTCCCTTTACTCCCTAAGTTCCCAACTCAAAAGCTTTTACTTTTCCTGGCCATCTTGGGTAGATGCTGGAGTATTAAAAGCCTGCTGTGCACCGCCATCTCTCCTCCCCGATAGCTCCTTTCTGCTAAGGAAAGGATAGAGCCTGTCTTGAGCGCTTCATTCTTTTCTCAGCTGAGCTATTCCTGAATCTCAGTCCTACAGCCCTGAGATGCCAGATCAACCCAGCTTTTGATCCTTTGGCCACTTCATTCCTTCACAGATGTGCTCACCCTCCACCCCCACGCCCCCCACTCCGGTTGACGCGAGAGAAAATTATCAAGTCAGTGAATTCTACCCATTTTTCTCCCAAAGTGCTAAGTACTTTCATGTGGTTGAGTACCTTGTATCTAATAAACCAGTCTGTGGTAAAGGATTCACTGCTCCCTCCTCTAGGAGGGGTTTCCCTGGCTTAGACAGTAAAGAATCTACCTGCAATACAGGAGACCCAAGTTTCAGTCCCTGGGTCAGGAAGATCCCCTGGAGGAGGGAATGGCTACCCACTCCAGTATTCTTGCCTGGAGAATTCTATGGACAGAGAAGCCTGGCAGGTTCGACAGAGTTGGACACAACTGAGCAACTAACAGTTCTAGGAGAGTCAGCACTTTCATAGAGCAGCCTATACAGAGCAATGTTTAACCCTGTAGTGAGCCTCAAATGGTGGCGCATCAGGCACTGTAATAGGGAAGTGGTAGATCCATGGAGACATAAGATGATGATGACTCTCATTATCTTACTATTTAAGTGACCACACCTTTCACTTTATAGGCATAGACCACCTGACTATACTTCCCATGCAGAGTAGGGTAAGAAAGAATAAAGACCCAGATTTCAAGCAACTGGTTTCAAACTACACAACCTGAACAAGTAAGAAGAGCAGAAGGTGAGTGGTGTCTAACCACCCCACCCCCGCCCCCTTCAGCAGCATTCCAGCAAGTACTGTCAGCTCTATTGTGTACCACCTTGTCCTCACACCCACCTAGGCTTAAAATCACTGATAAGAAAGATGCACCCCAAAGAAGTGGCTTAGTAGTGGTGCTCGTACCAGGGCCCAGCCTGGGTTCTAGAACTCCCAGCTAAGAAGGCCCTGCTATTCATTCCCAAGAGAAACTGCTCCGTTTACTGGAACTTCCCGTAGGGATTTTTGAGGGAAAAGAATGTTAGGCCAGAGATGGAAAGAATTAAGTGAAACACTCAGAAAATTGTCCCAAACCAGGACCCAAACATAATCGGGGACAAATAGCTCATTTTCCTTATTCGCTCCTATTTTTAATTTAGTCCTCAAAAACATGGGTGTTTTCCCAAACTTAGTTCTGAGACCCTCATTCCCCATTTCAACACTCTCCTTGGAGAGCACATTAATTCCTAGGCTTTCAGCTATCACCGCTACACAGATGACTTCTAAGCCAGCCAGCCCTCATCTCTACTCCAGCTGAAGCCCATGACTCTGAATAATGAACATCTCCATATGGGGATGTTATATGGGGATGCTCACCACCATTTCAAACACAGTCTGTCTAAAACCAAATCATCCTTTTGTATACCCAGTTTATGCTGATGGAGACCACCATTTGTATGGTTCTCAAAATCACCTAATAACTACAATTCTGTGGGATTCATTTTTTACCCTTCTCTCCCCCACATCCAGTCTGTCAACTCAGACTTCCTGGATCTTACTGAAGTTCAAAAGGGTCTTACACACTCTTAATTCATGGTACATTGCTTGCTTTTATGTACTGTAATTTTTAGCTTGTGAGATCATCTTAAGTGGGGATTTATCTGGTCAGTAATATTCGGTAGCCTGGGTTGAGAGTATGTTTCTCCTGAGCAGTTTTGTGCTTGCTTCTGCCAGGCATTCCAGGAATATCAACTGATGAAGGCCAATCGTTGTGTTAATTTCTTGGCTTAGGATTCTTATATTGTGCAGGTGTTGTGAGTTCAAACTCTAACTCAAGTAGTTACAGCTTCTCAGAGGCAACTTCCCTTCTCCACCCAGGGCTCAGGTCGGGACAGACAAGCAATATGGGAAGGTCTTCCTTCTCCATACCTCCACAGCACATCTTGTGCTCTCATCTGTTTCTCTCAGCTCCCTTTTTCTGGTCCAAGTAGATTTTCTTCCCTTTCTTGCAAGGTCAGTTGAGCATTTCAGATGTCTGTTATGTTTTGTGAATCAGTCCATGCATACTTTAGCAGGAGGGACTTTGGTTTACTCCACAATAGTGCTGAAAACTAAAGCCAGAAGATACAGATTCCTCTATTATAATATTTCCCCCATTTATCCTCTTTGTGCCTATTGCCAACACCTGAGTCCATGCCACCCCCTCCACGTATACAAACACCTTGGCTATGACAATCACATAATAATTGGAAGGATCTAACAAAAACATCCTGACTGACCCCTCATTGTACAGAGTAGGAAATTGAGGTCCAAGAAGTTTGGGGATTTTCTTAAGAGCACACAGACAATGAGAGACTGAAGTGGACCTTGCATCTGGGCTTTCCAGGTCTAAGACCAGTGCGTTTCCATGTATCCATTTGTTTCACAAGTATTACTGAGTGCCTACCGTGTGTTGGGCCTGTGGTTACCAATTTTTTTCCTTTCCAGTGCACCTGAAGAATTTGACACACATACACATCAGTAACAAAGCCTCACTCAAATCCTGGCTCTCATCTTGGAAAGACAGGGAAGAGTAGTAAGCATCTTGATGATGTGGGACATGGGAGAGAGTTTGACAAAGCAACTGAGAGTGCTGTTTCCTCCCTCTTCACCCCAGCCTCTGGCCTTGTTTGAAACAAGCTTGTACTATACCAAACCACTTCTGTGGTCCCTCTGCCCCCATTCTCTCTCCTTCCATTTCACAATGCACAGCACTGTAATTTCCCTAAACTGTTTTTCATAGTGTTTTATTTCAAACTGCCCACAGCTTGCACCTTCCTACAAAAAATACACTGCAGTTAAAGCCCTCCATATCTGATCCAAACTTATTGTCCACCCTCTTCCGTCATCTCCCCTCCACCCACGTGAATCCTCCCACCAAATCCTCCAACTGCTAAGCTTCTTCAAGGGCAGAGACCTTGTCTGATCCACACGTGTGGCCACTGTATCGCTAGGCCTTCTGCCCAGTACACCTTGGGTGCCTGATTATTGTGCTCATTGACTGGCCAAAAACAAAAAGGCCTAAAGGCCTAAAAGGAGAAGAGGAAAAGAGAAGGGGCCGAGGAAGGAAGGAAGGTGGTTGGAGAGCATGAAACTGGGAAGGATCAGGAGGGGGATGGGAAGAAGCAAGACTGAGGCCCTGAGCCAAGCCCAGGGGCCCCATGAGTAGGACATACTTCTGGCTGGTTTGTGCCTGTCCAGTTCTTCCGAGCCCATGATTCTCTGCCTCAGCTTTGGGTCCCCAGATGTGTCTGTTGTTATTCAGCTCTCTCTCTCCCTTTTGGTTTTTCTGGCCCACATGGAGTGGGATTCAGTTTAACATTTTTAGAACTGTGGTTCCCATAACAACCAAGCAGGAACTGTTGTCCATAAAATGTAGCCT